TGGTAAGACACTGAAGCTATGTACTGACCTTGGACTTGTCTCCCTATAACTTCTATGGAATTGAATATATATACATGTTATATATATATTCATATATGATTGAATATATGTACATGCATATGTTTATGTTTTGCTAATTTGATTGGCAAAAATAGCATCTTTTATGTAATTTCAAATCATAAATAGGGTTGAATTTTCTGTCTATTGGCTATGTATATTTCCTACTTTGGAAATTGCCTCATGTCCCACATACCTTTCAACCATCTTACTGGTATAGTTTTCTCCCCTAGAAAATGAGTCTTTAGTGTGTCAATTCTTTGATGACCCCAGAGACCATGGTGGTTAGCCTGTACCAACTGAGTCTACAGAGACCCCTGAAGAACCTTGAACTTGTATTTTACACTTCCCTTAATCTGGTGTAGTTTCTTTGACTTGAAGAATTGAGGTGGTTTTGATCTTTCAAAATAAAGATGTTTGCAGAGGAAATTGACACAAGCTCGAGGAAACCTGGGTCACAAAACTAACACATTTTACAGTTTTCTTGAATACAGACTACAAATGAGCTACCATGCTTGGTGATGCAGTTGAAAATGGTTGGTTTCTCCATTCCACCCTGCACACAGGGAGAGGACAAACACCCCTAACTACCAGCAACCAGTTACAACAAGAATCAGGGAGGGGAGAAGAAGGCATGGGGGAGCAGGAAGGTTGAGTCGAGGTAAGAATAGAGGAGAGCAGGATGAGACACCATAATAGAGGGAGTCATTATAGGCTTGAGGAGAGAACTGACACTAGTGAGATCTCCAGAGATAACACCAACTGGCAGACTAAACAGTAGTGGAGAAACTACATTAATAGCCCCTCCTTGATGATAGAGTTGATGACTACCCTATATGCCATCCTAGAACCTTCATCCAGGGACTGATGGAAGCAGAGACAGATACCCACAGCTAAACACTGAACTGAACTCCTGGAACCTAGTGACAGAGATGGAAGAGTGATGACCAAAGGGGTCAAGACCATGATGGTGAAATCCACAAAGACAGCTGACCAGACAACTGGGAGCCTTTGAATCCCAGACTGATGGCTGAGAGGCCAACAAGGGACTGATCCAGACTCCATGAATGTAGTGTCAGTGAGGAGGCCACAGAAATCACTGGGGTCTTGGGTAGTAGATCAGTGTTTACCATGGTGTATGAATGATCTTTGGGAGCCCATTCCAAATAGAAGGGTGCTCTCTCAGCCTGGACACATGGGGAAGGGCCTAGGTCCTGCCCTGGATGAAATGACAGACTTTGGAGATCCCCCCAAGGAGGGCCTCACCCTCCCTGGGGAATGATGTGGAGATTAGGTGGGGAGCTGGGAAGAAGGGTGGAGGGACAAGGGAGGAGGGGTGGGAGAGGGAGCTGGGATTGACATGTGAAGCATTCATGTTTCTAATTTAAATAAAAATATATATTGAGAAGAAAAAAGAATCACACACAGACACCTTAGGAGGTGGAAGTCCCAGACATAGTTGATGAAAATGCTGCAAACAGAACAAGTCCTTGGGTCCCATGGGACTTGATGGCTTTGAAACAGGAACAAGTAGTTTAGGATTGAGCCAGGACAGGAGGTGGGAGGGGATGTATTACACCAAGTGATAATTTCAGGCCTCACTCTGAGACCCCTGCAGGGCCAAGGAGAGATTAAGGTACCTGCATCCTCCTGGCTTGAAGCTTGTGTTTACAGGGTGAATGTTAATAATAAATCCCCTTGTATTCCTCCATTTTTAGTCTTCCCTTACAAAAATATATCCCATGATGTCAAATCCCAAATCATGCATGTGTTTTCCAACTGGTGCTTGGAGACAAGCTTTCTGCTTCCCTCCTGAGCATTGATCCAGTCTGCACAGGAGCCCCTGGGTCCTGGATCAGCAGAGGAAAGACTGAGAAAGGATTTTAACATGATGTAATTGAATGTGAATCGTTAATTACATTATGAAACGGCAAAGCTCACGACCTGGCATCTCTGCAGCTGACTTGAATTAGTTCTTCAACCAAAGAAATTAGCGTACAAGTCAGAAAAGTAAAGGCCTAGAATGCCAAGTGCATGCAGTATAGTTCCCCAAGTCCCACCTGCTGAGCAGGAGATGCTTTTAGCTTTCTACTGCATGGATCCCAGCTGTGTGCCTGGTTCAGAACCTGCTAAACATGCGCCTATTTGTGTAGTTTTTAAAACAGGCTTATTTAGCCTGGGGAGGTAGCTCAGCCAGGGACATACCTGCCTCATGGTCAAGAGAAACTGTATTTGCTCTCTAGTGCACATGGGAAAAAATAAACCAAGCATGGTGGCATGTGCTTGTCATCCCAGGATAGGGAGGTAGAGACAGGCAGATCTCCCAGCTTACTGGCTAGCCAGCCTGGCTGCATCTGCAAGCTGCAGTCCTGGGACCCAGTAAGGGGCATTGTGTTGAAAAAAAGAAAAAAAAAGCAAGGTGGGAGCTGGAGAGATGACTCAGAGGTTAAAGAGTACTTGCTGCTCTTGTAGAAGGCTAGAGTTCAGTTCCCAGCAACCACACTGGGCAGTTCAAAACTGCCTGGAACAGCTCTCTAGGAACTAGATATCCTCTTTGGGTGGATGTAAGCACCCAAACACATATGTGCACATTAAAAAAATAAGATGATCTCTGGTTGGCCTCTGGCCTCTACACGAATACACACACATGTGCAGACGACACTACACAAATAATGAATAAGGTATTTAGTTATCATAGCTTCATTCAGATATTATTCCCAGTCTGACCCAGTTACTCTCTTGGGCTGCATGACATCTGCCAGCAATGTTTTTTAGAAAGTATTCTTTCAGAAATGTGTGAATTCCTAAAATGTTGCATGCTGTTACATACAGTTCAGAAAGAGTATCTGATGTCACAGATACAGGGAACTTAAAATTAAGCACCCCCCCAAGTCTGTTGAAGTTCCCAACCCCTTTTTCCTTTTTATTGAAAATAGGATTTTTCCTCACTTATTACATACTGATTACAGCTTCCCCTCCCTCTCCTACTCGCACTTCCTCCCTGTCTCCCCTCCCATCCAGATCCATTCCCTTTCTGTCTCTCTTTAGAAAACAAGCATACTTCTGAGGGTTAATAAGAAAAATACAACAAAATAAAAGATAAAACACAAACTATCACATCAGAGTTGGATGAGACAAACAGAAGGAAAAGAACCCAAGAGAAGACACAAGAATCAGACACCCACTTGTTTGCACAGCCATAAAAACAATACTTTGGAAGCTATAATATATGCACAGAGGACCTGGTGCAGACCCATGCAGGCCTTGTATATGCTGTGAGCTCACATGAGCTTTGCTTATGTCGACTTAGAGGGCTTTGTTCTCCTGGTGCCCTCCATCTCCTTTGGCTCTTACACTGTTTCTGCTTCCTCTTTTTTGGAGTTCCCGAGGGGAGGAATTTGATAGACATTCCATTTAGGGCTGAGTGTTCCAAGATGTCTCACTCTTTGTGTAATGTTTGGCTGTGGGTCTCTGTATTTGTTCCCATCTGCTTCTATGGTGACAGCTGAGAAGGGGCACTGATCTATGAGTATAGCAGAATGTCATTAGGAGTCTCTTTTTCTTTTTCTTTTAACAATAGTACTTGGTTTTACTGTAGGTCCCTGAACTATCTAGCCTCTAGGTCTTGTTCACCCACGCGGCGTTGGATGTGAGTTTTATCTCATGGAGTGGGCCTTAAGTCAAATAAGATTTGGCTTGGTTACTCCCATAGTTTTGGGCCACCATTTGCTCTGGCATATCTTGCAGGCAGGACACCATTGTAGATCAAAGCCTTTGTGGCGATGTGGTGCTTACCTTTCTCTTTCAGTAGGGTATCAAGTACCTTCTTGTACCAAAGACATGAGAACATAGGCTTTAAGCTTCTGTGTAGGCACTTGCTCGACATCTACATGTTCAGTAAGTTGTATAGATGTCTTTAGCACTGGGGCCTTGCCGTCAACTTGTGGAGAGCAACCAGTAGCCTTAGCAACAGCCTGGGTTGTTTGGGGATTTCCATGGGACCCCTTTGGCTAACAACTCAATCAGATATAAGCCAATCCTGGAATTGGAAGCTTCATTTAGTGACAAGAGATGTCCTGTTGGAGCTCTGTCTCCCCCATAATTTGATGATTTCATTTAGATTGCCTTCATATCTGTATATATTTTAGAAAGCTTCTACTATATTAGGTTTCCACACTACCCTCAAATAGCCCTTATTTTTTAGCTGTCTCTCCCCATATTCCCTCTCTTATCCCCTTCTCCGCTCCCCTTCCCAACTTGATCCTCCTAATCCATGCCCCTCTCCTTCCATCCATCACTATGTATTTACTTCCCTTTCCTAATAAGATCTATCTGTACCCCCCTGGTCCCTTGCTCCATACCTAACCTCAGTGGTTCCACAACTTAACATTGACTTAACAGCTAATATCTACTTATAAGTGAATACATACTATATTTGTCTTTCTGGGTCTTGGTTACCTCACTCGGGATTACTTTTTTCTAGTCCCATCCATTTACCTGCAAATTTCATGATGTACTTTTTTAATGGCTGAGTAATAGTCCACTGTGTAAATATACCACATTTTCTTTATCCATCCATCTGTTGTGGGACATCTGAGTTATTTCCAGTTTTTTGACTATTATGATAAAACAGCAATAAGCATAGATGAGCAATGTCTTTGGGGCAGGATGAAGTATCCTTTGCGTATGTACCTGGGAGTGATAGAACTGGATCTTGAGGTAGATCCAGGAAGAGAGTAGAAAACCTTGTTATGGAATTGCTTTGGTTTCTCTCCATTTAAGTTGATGTTGGCTATGGGCTTGCTATAAAATGCCTTTATCATGTTGAAGTATATCCCTTGTGTCCCTAGTTTCTCCAGGACTTTTATCTTGGAGGGGTGTTGGGTTTTGTCAAAGACCTTTTCCGCATCTAATGAGATGATCATGTGGTTTTTGTCTTTCAGTCTGTTTGTATTATGGATTGCATTTATGGATTTACATATGTTGAACCATCCCTGCATCTCTGGGATAAATCCTGCTTGATGATGGTGGGTGTTCTTTTTGATGCCTTCACTATTTTCAAGCAGATGAGATGTGGAACACACCACTCTGTGTTCTCTAGTCCCTGGGGACAACTTCCATAGGCAAGCAGAAATAAGGTATCCCTGAGGTTTCCCAAGCACTGAATCAAATAGTGCTTGGGAAATTCAAATTGCTTGCAAATGCAAACAATAGGAAAAGGACCTCCAAAGAGTGACATAAGAGATGAGAGGGTCAAAAGCAATAGAACACAGACAAGCTTGCCACATACAAAGTTTATCATGCTGTAGGAAACAGGGCTGACCAGAAGTTTATTTCAATTTATTCATGTTATTTTTAATGGACCAGTAATATTTGGGGAGATTAGTCTAACTAGTTGACATTATAATTACAGGGTAATGTAGTTTTTAGGGCCAAATATTTTTACACATGCAATTATCTTTCAATACAAGAGGTTATCACAAAGGAGTAAACTGGGGGTTAGCAAGTTCACATACTCCTTTAAGTAGAACATTCTAGTTTCTAAGCAGGAAAATGTATCATTTTGGAATGAATCTAGGAAAAATATAATTTATTCACATACTTAAAAAGGTTACAATTTCTGTGAATATTCTTGATATAATGATTTCTAACCCCTGTTATATATTTTTATTCCTTTATTATATTTTTTATTATTTAAATTTTTTAAATTGAAATCTATCTTGTCATATTCTTCCCCTCCCCCAAGTCCTTCCATATCTTCTCCCTCTCCCTACCCATTCAACTTTAAGTTCTTTCTCAAAAAAACTAACAAAAACCCAATATGGCAAAACCTCCCCAAACCAAGAAAACAAGACACCCAAACAGAACAAATCACACCCAAACAGAAAGAAACAAAACAAAGTGTAATGAAATAAAAATGTGTGTGAGCCCCCCCCACACACACCTGTGAAGTTCATTATTTATTGGTCAAATACTCCTGAATGTAAAGTCTGTCCTGGAGTAGTTGATATTCCTCATGTCACTCCATTCGAGAATATTGATTTCCCTCTCTTAGCATGTATAAATGCCAGTTCCATCATTTGTCTCTACCCTAGTGGCTTGGTTTTCATTCATTCATTCATTCATTCATACATTCATTTACTTTAAGAAATATATAATAAAATATAATAAGATGAAACAAAAACTATCACATCAAAGTTAGACAGGGCAAACCAACAGAAGGAAAAGAGCCCAAGAAAAGGCACAAGAATCAGAGAGCCAGTGGTCCACACACTCAGGAATCCTACAAAAGCACTAAACTGGAAGCCATAATATAAGAGTAGAGGCCCTGGTGCAGACCAGCAGGTACTGTGCATACTGCCTCAGTCTCTGTGAGTTCATACAAGCTTTGTGAAGATCGATTTAGAGGGTTTTGCTTTCTTGCTGTCTTCCATCTCTTCTAGTTCTTACTATCCTTCCCCCTCCTTTTCCGAAGGGTTCCCTGAGCTCCAAAGACATTCTATTTAGGGCTGAGTGCAGAAGTTCATTTTAAGCCTTGATTTTTAGTGACTTTTTGGGTGTGGTGAAGGGGGACATTAGTATTTGATTAGCACTTAATTAGCCTTAGCATTTTCTCACAGCCTTTCCCTTCGATGTGTGTCTTGAGAAGCATCTTTGTATTTATTTCCCTTTTGTTCTTGCTGTCACAAGTGAGTAACAGAGTCATTAAGAAAATACAATTCCCTTTTTTAGAAATTATCTCCTCTGTATACTTTTCTGGAACACAGATCATCATCTAAGCCAACATGCAAGAATCATTCCTTGTCAACATACCAGGCAGAGCATTCCAGCACGCCCCCCCCAGTCATCCAAGAAAAATGGGGTGTGCTTGTCAGGTGGCTTAGGTTAGGGTGTGTGAGAACACTTGGTCCCCAGATGGTGGTACTGTTTGGGGATGTAATGGTTAGGAGCTGAAGGGAGTGGGTCCTCTTGGGGATGGGTCTTGAGGTTCACAGTCTGCCTCCCTATCCTGTCCCTGCTTTCTGATGTGCTCAGATGAGCAAACAGTCACACCCACCTCTCTGCCTTCTCATCATGTTGGACTCTACCCTCAAACTGTGAGCCAAGTCCTTCCTCCTCTAAGTTGCATCTGATCAGGAATTCAGACATAGCAATGAGAAAGGCAATCTTTAATACACTGGCACCTGGGCACACCTTACACGCTGTCCCACCTATAAACCTGCACAACCTGTAACCACTCTGCTGTCACTACCAGGAAGGGACTAGATCTCCCGAGCTCCTTTCTGTTTGTGATTTTCCAATCCCAAATAAAAACAGTACATATGTTCCTTCTCTGCAATGTATTTTTAGAATATCTGGGAGATGAAATGGCTTCAGTTCAGCCATCTGACTGCCATTAGCACTAATGGGAGAAAGGCATCTTCAGGGACAAAAAGGCTAATCCCCAAGTGTATAAATAGCATCAGGCTGTGGCCAGAGGGCAGCCTTGACATGGTAAGCATCACGTTCTGTGTTCTTGAGTGGGTAGCCCTGTTCAAGTCAGCCTTCCACATGAGGTGGCTTGGATCAAAGCTTGGGATTTCAGAGGTCCTTTCTCTGACCTTGCCTTTGACCCCTACATCTGGACAGGAAGGCTCGACAGCACCTGTCAGGAGTCTTGTGCCCTTTGGAACTTTGCCTCTAAGTGTGTTCTTCCCCAATTCTAGAATAAACTGTGGGATCCTACACTTAACCCGAATGACTGGACTCTACTGAATCTGTGATTCAGTCCTGAGCATGTGTCTGAGCCTAGCTCTGTAGGTGGCACATCAGGAAGGCCAGTCACACACACGGGTGCTGCACTTCCCTCAGTGTCTGCAGCCCTGTGATCCAAAGGTCAAAATGTCTTATGCAACTAGACTTTGAATTGCTGAATTGCTCTATCACTCCTGCCAGGGTGTAGAGGGAAAGTTGGGCCCTAATCTCACTATACGCTCTATAGCTGCTCTTCCCAGCTCAGTGTGAGTCTCTGAACTAAAGAATCTAGGGCATTTTAGAGGTAAGGGAGATTAAAGCATGTTCACCAAAAGGAAGCTGTCTCCACAAAAGGGAAGAGCCAGAGGCTCTTGCCCTCACTTCAGATCTGATTTTGCATTTCAAGTACACTTCAGGGTCTCAGCTCTCCTTTGGCTCCTCTAGGTAGCTTCACGTCCCCTCACCTGTTTCTAGTGATACGGATGTGGTGGTGCAGCTGCCATGTCCAGACAACAAGACCGAAGCTACAGGGTCTACACAGCTGGACCCCCTCCCACAGAGCTGCTTGCAGGCTCTGGAAGATGATTGGGTTTGCCCAACTGTCATTCAGGCGCTATTCCAGAAACAAAGACAGACATATTAGTGTCATTCTGCAATGTCAGAATTCATTGACCAATGAATCCAATGATTTCCTTTAACAGCTGGCTATTGGCAACTAAAGGTTCTTATATTCCAGTCTTAATTATTAATATTAATCTTAACAAATAGGATCTTTCAGATTAGAAAAATCACACTTCCACAGTAAGGGGTGTGTGTGTGTGTGTGTGTGTGTGTGTGTGTGTGTGTGTGTCTGTTCGTAGGTTATAGAATTGTTACATGATTGAAGAACTTGAGGCTGGATGGGTGGGTGGTTTGTTCATAGATAAATAGTTGATGGGTGGCAGAACCAGGGTGAGAATGACTACTAGCTCTCTGGCACTATATTCTAAGTTCTTTCTATCACTTTCCATGTTTCTGAAATGAAGTATGTTGCAAACTTAGCCATCCTGAGAGATTTAGGGTCACAGTATTGAGGGTGTGCAGGTAGGTGTGTGAGCAGGCTGAATAAAATACTAGACTCCATGGGACTTCCTGGGTGTTTTAGTAACTACTGCTTCATCTGTATGTTTATGCTATATCTGTCAGCTAACAAGCATAGAGGGAGTCATTTTGTAGTTTCTGAGGAGAGACTATGAGACAAACTTCTCTGTTCCGGACTTTTCTGAATCTTTTACCAATGAGTATTAAAATAATAACAACAACAACAATCACAACAAAACAAACCACTGTTTTAACCAGCAGAAATGGGACAAGAAAGTCCAAAGACATCCTTCATGTCCCAACTCCATTGCCCAAATATTCACATGTGTATTAATAATGGCCATTTAAATGAGGTTTTCATAAATCAACAAGCACCAGTGTGCCCTGAGGACCTACTGCCTAAAACCTCACCTTTAAGTGGGCCTGTGCTCATCCCACATTGAGACCTCAGATTCCCTTGGAGGGGAGGAGCCTCCCTATGTCAGGAGGAGCCATAAGGATGGCACTCAGTGTTGCAGCAACAGGGCAGAGCCAGGTGTAGAATAAAAACAAATGGTATCCTCAGAGAAGCTCTGGGCTAAATGATGTTCTGGGGTTTAAAGGCCCAAGGAAAACCAATGAGCCATCTTCCTTCCTCAAAGGACCTGATCTTGCCCTCATGTACAAGTGTAACAAGGCCAGGTATAGGAGCACAGCAGAAGTCCTATGGAGCACAGCAGCATGTTACAAGGAGGATGGGGGGATGGGGGGCAGCTCTCCGGACCTTGTGTGGCTCACTGCTGGTAGAGCAAGCTGATCTGAGACAGCAGGAGTGGTGTGTTAGGAACTGAGCATTTAAAACTGCCGGCAGCCGGCAACCTCATCTCTCACCGACCATTAGCCAGCATCTAGGAGGAAAGTTTTGGTGATCTTTTGGCTTGTATATTAAACATTAGCTGGTGGGTGGGGGATGCACTTTTCAATGATTTTTTCCATGATTATATGTATATGTATAATTTTCACAAAGAAATCCCCCCCTTTCTAGGGCATACAGGAAATGCTTCCACAAGGCACTAGCTGTTAAGAACAAGTTAAACACATTTCTAGTTTTCCCAGCCTAAGTGGTCTCCTGAGTGAAGTCCACAGACTGTTCCGTTTCCTGCAGAACCTTCTTTCGTGGAGGGAAATAAATAACACCCAGGCATTCTTCACAATATGGGAGGGATCAGGAAGCAGAGCTTTGGTGAGACACCACCTGTTCATGTCATTGGACACGATGATCCTTTGGGGAAGAGATGGAAATGTCAGGATGTTAAGTGTCCAAGTCGCAGGGAAGGAAGGGCCAAGGGATCCAGCCAGCCTTGCTGACTCAGCTTCCTCCGGGGCTTACCTTTTCCTAGTGACTATTTTCACATGTGCTTTTCCATGGAGGCTGTTGGGAACTTCTTCAATTCAGATAGTCAAAATTTGACTTCAGAAGGCAGGACATTCTTAGAAGAGGCTGTGTGCAGAGAGCATGCTTCCAGCTTGGCTGGGGAGACATGACTGAAGCACATGACAGAGCTAGAAGCTGGGAAAACCCTGGTCAGAAGCTCTCTGGCTGCTCTGGAAGCAATTCTATTTGCCCCCAAACAGGGCTAAGAAGCCCAGAGTCTTTTGCGTGGGAATCCTCCAACCTCAGAATCTGTTTCCTTTTCTGACGTGGGGTCCTCAGAAGTATTTTTACCCTAAATGGGTGGACATGGGGTCCTGCTGGTTGGAAGGAATAATGGGGGATGGAGTAGGAGTGGAGTAGAGGGTTGGCACGAGAACCAG